CAAAAATAGCCCTGCATCTACCCTATGTTGAGTTCGGGATTATGTGGATAGGACTCCAGTATCATCTATCTAGTTTTTATAGAGGGTCTGAATTCCTGCTCACTATCTTTAACTGTTTAATTGTTTTCTGGTTTTAATGTTTTTAATGTCTTAGAGTAATTGTGTCAATTTATTTTTATTGGTATATGTCTTGATGTTACCCGCCCTAAGCCTATTCGGGGAGGGTGGGATGTAAATTTTAAAAATAAATAAAAAATACTCTGATGTCAGAGGGAGACATTTTTGAATGAACGTTAGTTACAACAAATAAAGCTGACCGACTCGCCTAACTCTACCTGGGAAGCTTATTTGAGGTCTGAGCCAAGGACGTCTTGGTTTCCATCTTGTTGTTTTAGCTACCCCAGTTTATGTTGGGAACAGATTTCTATTAGCTAGGCAGCTGATAAGACCAGGACATCTGTGTGCGTAAGTAAAAGGTAAAGGTTTCCCTTGCTCAAAAGCCAGTCGAATCCAACTCTAGGGGGTGGTGCTCATCTCCATTTCCAAGCCGAAGAGCCAGCACTGTCCGAAGACTTCTCCGTGGTGATGTGGCCGGCATGACTAAATGTCAAGGTGCACGGAACGCTGTTACCTTCCCACCGAAGCGGCACCTTTTTATCTGCTTGCAATTTCTTGCTTTTGAACTGCTAGGTTGGCAGGAGCTGGGGCCAGAGACGGGAGCTCACTCCGTCACGCGGCACTTGGGTCTCGAACTTAACCTCTGAGCCACCGTAAGACAATGCTAACTCTACTTTTGACCAGCCAAAGGCAAAAGGAAGCCAGTGCACTTGCTACAATAATACTCTTCTGGTTACTACATCCTTCCACCTGTCTTCAACTCAAGGCCAACTAAATTTGATCCACTTGAAACTAGAAGATGTTTTGTTTTTTAGTGCTCAGTAATGACACCATGGCTTCTGTTACAACACACTAAGTCCGCTGAATGCCCTTGTCTTTTCAGAGTGCGAGAAGGATGAGTCATGTGGGTTTGCTGCATTGTCCGGTGCAGGGACAGGAACACGGTGTGAGCTGTACAGTGCTGCTGAGAGCAATTACAATTGTTCTGCTTTCGGAATGGTAACCAAACACTGTTGCTTCATGTTGATAGGCCTGGGGAGTGAAGTCTGGGTGGATACCTATCACTTTTTGGCCTTTTGAAAAGTTGGCAGTTGTGCCATTGGCTTATATTGGGGATGGCCAACTGGCAGAGAGTCAGTTTGGTATGGTGGTTAGGAGCGCGGACTCTAATCTGGGAGAACTGGGTTTGATTCCCCACTCCTCCACATGCGTGGAAGGGCCTCGCCCCATTGCCAAGGCCGGGCGTGGAGACCTTGGGTCAGTCACAAGTTCTCTCAGAGCTGTTCTCTCAAGGGCAGGAGAGCTCTCTCAGCCCCACCCGCCTCACAGGGTGTCTGTTGTGGGGAGAGGAAGGGAAAGGAGTTTGTAAGCCGCTCTGAGACTCATTCGGGTAGTGAAGGGTGGGGTATAAATCCAATCTCCTCCTCCTCCTCTTCTTCTTCTTGGTGGTGGTGGTCCTCACAGTAATTATCTGGCCTGCAGGTGGCTCTACTAAATACAAATCAAAGTTGTCCAGACAGGGGCCATCTGTCTTGATGGCCCCTTCTAGCCTGCAGACAGTATTACGGGGGTGTTTTTGATCCCAGTAAGACTTGCCAACCTCTAGGTGGGGCCTGGAGATCTCCTGGAATTCCAACTCATCCATAGATGACAGAGCAAGATGGGTAGCGCTGTGTTAGTCTGTCTGTAGCAGCAGCACAGAGCACGAGTCCAGCAGCAGCTTAAAAGATGAACAAAATTTGTGGCCGGGGAGGAGCTTTCATGAGTCACGGCTCGCTCGTTCAGATACAGCTAGAATATGAGTCCGCCTGTCCTTCTATCTTGGAGAGGGGAGTGACTTCAGATGCCGAAGGACAATAGCAGGCGAATGACAGCAGCAGGCGTGACTGGATTAGGTGTGATAAGCAGAGGGGTAGTAGGCATTGGTAATGAAACAGGAGAACATGGTCGGGGGGTGGATTGTATGGCATTCTACCTTCTGCTAAGGTTCCTCCCCTTCTCAAACCCCACCCTCCACACGGTCCACTCCCAAATGTCCAGGAATTTCTCAGCGTGGAGCTGGCAGCTCTTTTATTGTAGAGCCTGCATACGTATACGCCGCTACGCCATACTGGCTCTCTCAATATGACTGTTGCTGAATACCCCACGGCTTCAGTGTCCGTCATAAATATTATGGACAGAAGCCCTGAACTGGATGGCCCAGGCTAGCCCGATCTCGTCAGCTCTCGGAAGCAAAGCAGGGTCAGCCGTGGCTAGTACTTGGGTGGGCGACTTCCAAGGAATACCAGGGTCATGATGCAGAAGCAGGCAATGGCAAAACCGCTTCTGAAACGTCTTTTGCCTCCAAAACAAGGGTAGCTCGCCACCTAGTGGTCCATAATAACGCTAGAAGAGCTAGAACGTCTGGCTGCCTGACAATCTTCGGATCTCCTGGCTACACTACACACAAGGCCATACGATAGTAATAATTGTTACTATGAATCGATTGACCAAACCCTCCTCCTGGTCAATTAAGAAATGGAAATTCAATAGGTGATTTTTAATTGTCTGACATGAATTAAAATGGTGCGTGCATAACCTGGAGATATGTTTGTTGATCTTAGGCTGAAGGTGCCTTTGAGAACTCTGCCACCACTAGGATCGCTCGTCTTAGCTGCCTGATTAAAATAAGAAGCCGGGATCCAGACACACTGAGGGTCTACCTGAAAAAAGGTATGTTCTCAATGGCTTCAGGACAGAACAGACATTGCAGACCTCTGTCAGTTTGTGAAAGCCACAGTTCAGATCAGGGCAATGTAGGAAGAGGAGATGTAATCCTTCAATACCCATGTGGTTTTACTATTTGAAACTAGGCTTCATATATGTTTATTAATGTTTTAAAGAGAAAAAAACGTTTTTAAAAGGCACATCTTTATCCTTTAAAACTGCTCATAACTAGTTATTTACAAATGCCTGCCAGTTCAGCTAATTTCCTGTTTACCAGTCACTGCTAGGAAGCAGACTGTTCAGTGAGCTGTTCACATGACTCCAAACAAATTTGGATGTGTCTGCCTGCATAGTTATGACTGTTTTTCACACAGTTAGACTTTGTTACCACAAACTCTACCTCTGTTTTGTAAAATGACAACTAATTAGTTTTAGAGTTGACTTGCTACTTAGATATCACTGTATCCCTTTGGTGTCTACCCATGAAGCTGACTAATCTTGCAGTCAGTTCTTGCGGTTGCTTCTCAGATGCTGTGCAGATACAAAAGCAGCAATGCAATCTAGCTAGCATCGCCCACTTCAAAGATGCATCCAACTAAATAGGTACAGAAAGGGGGCAAATGGAAAGCAATTTTGTGCTGTACACGAGATGATTTAATGATCCAACCATGAACCTGGGAGATATTGCCTCTCCTCTGATAAATGAGATGATTTAATACTGTGTGCAATTCTGGTCACCACACCTTAAAAAGGATATTATAGCTTTGGAAAAAGTGCAGAAAAGGGCAACTCGAATGATAAAAGGGTTGGAACACTTTCCCTATGAGGAAAGGTTAAGGTGCTTAGGGCTCTTTAGCTTGGAGAAACGACGACTGAGGGGTGACATGATTGAGGTTTATAAGATTATGCATGGGAAAGAGCAGGTAGAGAAAGAGGTACTTTTCTCCCTTTCTCACAATACAAGAACTCGTGGGCACTCCATGAAATTGCTGAGCGGTCGGGTTAGAACGGATAAAAGGAAGTACTTCTTCACCCAAAGAGTGATTAACACTTGGAATTCACTGCCACAGGAAGTGGTGGCAGCTACAAGCATGGACGGCTTCAAAAGGGAATTAGATAAGCATATGGAGCAGAGGTCCATCAGTGGCTATTAGCCACAAGGATCCCTGATGTTCTTATGTTCTTAATTGCTGAAGTGGGTAAACGGAGCTGCAAGATGTGAGAACCAAGTGTCTACTGTGCCAGGGCAAAGCTGCTCTGCTCAATACTGTAGTTGAGATTTATTTCGTCAGAGAATGTGGAGGCAGTCTCATCAGGAGCTCCCCTGGAATGGGACTGGGGGCTTCTCAGCAAGGCATGTTTGCCCCATGATCATGTCCACAGAGTAGTTTGCACCATGCGTACTAATAACACTGTCAGGACATAATCAAACGGAGCTGCAAGATGCGAGAACCAAGTGTCTACTGTGCCAGGGCAAAGCTGCTCTGCTCAGTACTGTAGTTGAGATAAATTTCGTCAGGGAATGTGGAGGCAATCTCATCAGGAGCTCCCCTGGAATGGGACCGGGGGTGTCTGAGCAAGGTATGTTTGCCCCACGATCATGTCCACAGAGTAGTTTGCAGCATGCGTGCTAATAACACTGTCAGGACATAATCCAGAGAGCATTGATATTTTTCTTTAATATGTAATAGCCGTTTCCCAACACGGGCACGTGTTTTTCTGTGTCTTTCTCAAAAGTGTTGCTGTGCAGATCGAGAAAGGCTCACGTCACGTTTGCTGTAAATGACATCCATGGGAGAAAGTAATCAGTATGATGTGTGGGGCACAGATAAGAGGAGAGAGACCCTGTCCTCACCCCAGACGCTAGGTTCTCCAGACACAACCTTTTACTTGCCCGATGTTGCGCATCCAGGTTAAAGGTCAATCCCTCCCTGAAGAGGCAACCTGGCAATTGTCTGTGTGTCACCCGTCCGTCACCTTTTGCTGGGCTCCTTCTGGAAGGCGATTTCCCTCTCTTCTTCCCAGGGCAAGAATTCACAACAGCTGGAGCCAAGACCTTCGAGCGGACTGATTTCCAGGATGTTGTGTCTGGCGTGTACAGGAATCTGGTTCTCCCAGCAGCCGCGACATCTTTGACCGATGTTCATCTCTTCTGCCGCCAAGGCTGCAGCCAAGACCCTTGCTGTGACGGCTTTATCCTGAGCCAGGTCCTGCTGGATGGAGGTAACAGTGCTCAGACTACAGATGTGGGAAGAGGAAGTTTATCCCCACCAGGGCTTTTTTTGTAGAAAAAGCCCAGCAGGAACTCATTAGCATAATAGGCCGCACCCAACAGCAGAAACTCATTAGCATATTAAGCCATATCCCTGATAGCACATCTCATTAACGTATTAGGCCACACCCCATGCCTTCCCTTGGCTTGCTTGGGCGCCCCGTGGCTGGGAAGGCACAGGGAGGCATTTAAATGCCTCCCGAATCCTTCCAGGGTTCCCACTGGGCCGCCCGTCTCTGAGTCACCGGGGGGTCGCTCCCCAGACCTTCCCTCTGTAGCCACACACGCAGAGGTTTTGGCTGTAGTGGCTGTGGCCAGCTCTGAGGCTAGCCGGAACTCCGTTCCTGTGCGTTCCTGCCCAAAAATAGCCTTCATTTCCACGTTTGTCCTGCTGGATGGGGACGTTGTTAAAGAAAAAGCATACAGCAGCAGATATGGAAAGAGCAAAAGTAGGGGCTGTGTCTCCCCCACAAACACTAGAAACTTTGAAGATATTATCCCATATTCCAGTGTTTTTTGTGTGTTTTTTTAAGCCCCCTGAAGGGGAATTTTTTATTTGCTTTTCTATAAAACTACAACAGAAAATGGGGAGGGAGAGTCTACAATCTATAGGAAAAAGTAAAAAGAACCTAACTAAAAACCCAAGAATGGAGGTTTTACAAAGCTTAAAACATAGTTGTTTCTCTTATACGGTTACTTTCAAACATGAAGAGTGCCCGCCAATCATCGCTTCTGCTGACAAAACCTGCTTATCTGACTGAACAGAGAGTAATTCCAAAGCTATAAGACACATAATCACATCCCTTAAGAAAAAAATAGCATCTCCACGCTTTACTCGCCCCCCCCCGCAAAATCATCCCGGCAAAATCTTTAAAATCAATGTTCCCTCAGCAAGAACATTACAACTCGTTTTTCTTCTTCTGTCTTCTATGTATCTTCTTTCTTCAATTTTCTTTTAGTTTTTATAAGTCCAGATCTGTCCATTCGTGATATAAACCAAGTTCTTTTTTTCCTGGGACATCTTCGCTTCCTTAAACATCTTAGATCAAAAGAATCTCTCCCTTGACTCCAATGGTGCTGCTATAGCGCTCACCTCAGAAAGTCCAAGGAAGATCATGTGGTGAAAAAGGGTGGGGGAAGAAGCAGCACTGTTTGAAATGACCATAACGCTTCAGAGACGGCTTATTAACAGAAGGAAATTCACCATATGAAATCCCCGTCCCTGTATCGCTTTACTTGAAATGGAATAACAACGAATTCGTTGAAACAACGAATAACATCCAGTTTAGAATGGTAATGTGAAAAGTGCCAGTGTCTTTGTGCTCAGAGACAGCCAAGGATGGTCTGGTGTTCTGTAGAATGCCCTTCTTCAACCTGATTAGGACATTGTCAGCCATTTCTTACAGGTTTACGTGTCCCATTATCCAGTCATACAAGTTGACCTGTGTGAGCTTGCTGGAAACAAGAAATGTGTTTGAAAACTATAATTCAAAAAATATGGAGTGTGTTTTTGAGCAATTGCCTTTAGAAGCATTTAGCTCATTCGAAAATAACATATTTCATAGGAGGGTTTTATTCAGTACCCAAATTTCCAATTTTTCTGTTGGAAAAAAGTGAAAAAAGGTTCCAGACCGGGGGGGGGACCGACCCCCCCTTTCCTGGATGTTTTGTTTGTTTGTTCTCCCCCCCCCCCCCCCCCCCAGCCTTCACAACTCTACTCCATAGCGATGCTCTGGGAGTTTCCTCATGTCACTATGGTCTTTACCACACTGCTTAGGGGAAATTCCTAGAGTGTCCCCTGGAAGTGATGTCACATCCTTTTGGAATTCCAACTTTCCCAGGCACCCTTTCAAAAATCTCCAGAGCTGTATTCTGTATCCTGCTACTCTGCGGAGAAAAATTTGAAACCTTTCTCCAACCTGAGGAGACTTCCACCAGAGGAAGAGCCAGTGAAGTCTGAAGAGGGCTCGTTAGATGGAAGGAAGGCCTCAATCCAGAGTGACCAGAGTAGTTGGATGGAGTTGGATGGAGGCCTCTCGGTGCATGAGCAAATAAAAAAAAACAACCACCACCAGATAATTGTAATTAGAGTTGCCAACCTCCAGGTGGGGGCTGGAGATTTCCCAGAAGCATAACTGATTTCCGGAGGAGGACTCTATGGCATTATTCCCCTGCTGAGGCATTATACCTACCAGTTTGGTGTAGTGGCTAGGAGCACGGACTCTCAACTGGTCCCTGCCTCTTCTCAAAGCAGCAGAAAGGGCCGTGGGAGAAGTTGTGAAGTCTCTTCCGCTGAAACTCCCTCGTTCATCTCTTCTGTGTTAAAGGAAGCCTAGGGCTGCCATCGGCTGAGTGGGTGTGTGATGGAGGCACTGAGAGGGCTCGAATGGGGTTCTCTGGAGATGGCTGTACCACAGAGGCTTCTGGCTTAAGGGGCTCTGTACAAAATGTACCACGTGGATTCAGTACAGCAGGAGGTCCCAACATGGTGTCACTTTGGTGTAGTTAGGAACGCAGACTCTGATCTGGGAGAACCGGGTTTGATTCCCCACTCCTCCACGTGCAGCTGTCGGTGTGGCCTTGGGTCAGTTGCAAGTTCTTTCAGAGCTGTTCTCTCAAGCGCCGTCCTCGAAAGAGCTCTCTCAGCCCCGCCTACCTCACAGGGTGTCTGTTGCAGGGAGGGGAAGGAGATTGTAAGCTGCTCTGAGGCTCCTTCGAGTCGTGGAGGGCGGGGTATAAATCCAACCTCCTCCACCTCTTCTTCTTTTTCTTCCCTACCCAAATCCCATCCTCCCCAGGCTCCACCTCCAAAAGCTACAGGAATCTCACAATATGAAGTTGGTCAGCCTAACAGTATTGCTTTCCTCAACTTTATCCAGGTAGTATCGTGTGTGGTCTTATGAGCTACCCAGATGTATTCATCTGCAACACTAACAACTGGGATGGAACCACAACGCGTGGGAAAGAAGACCAGTGTCAAAGAGAGAAGTATGCTGAAGGAAGGAAGCAGTACACGTTCCAGCTGGGAGGTCAGGTGCTCACAGGAGGTAAGTGGGCTCCTTTCCTGGTGTACGGATGCTCCCCAGTGTTCCCTCTAAGCTGAGTTAGTCTGAGCCGGCTCACAGTTCTCTAGCCCCCGGCTCACACGTTTTTGTCTTCGCTCAGGAAGGAGGGCTCCAGAGCAGACTAATTTACGCAGCACAGAAAACACCGTGTTGAAATAATAAACACAATATTCACATGCACTTATAGCTAAATATATTTGTTTTATATACACAACATCAACTCTAGTGTATTGTAAACACTTTCAAATGACAACATCACATTTCAAACACTTTCAGACTAAGTTATATAACATGAAGAGTCCAACTGTCTTCTTCCTGATGGAGGATAAATACCAATGTACAGTTATTTGCACCGAACAATGCAGCAAACTAAGCAGAATCAGCACAGTGAGAAATACAAGCCGCCTGCTAGCTTTACCTGATGGATCATCACTTGGGAAATGTACAATAGGTTCATTGAAAATAGAGGCAGAGGTGGCTTCCAAATTTATATCTGATCTCGAAAAGCTCAGTGGCAGAGCATCTGATTGACATGTAGAAGGTCCCAGATTCCATCCCCAGTATCTCCAGCAAAAAATCTGGTAGAAGGTGATGTGAAAGACCTCTGCCTGAGACCCTGGAGAGCAGCTGCCAGTCTGAGTAGACAATACGGACTGTGGTGGACCAACGGTCTGATTCAGTATAAGGCAGCTTCATGTGTTCAATTAAGTTAGGCCAGATTGTGTTTTAACGATCTTCTATGGAACAGTAAGGAGCTGCGGTGGCTCAAGTGGTTAAGACGCTGAACTGCAGGCTGTGGAAGATCAGTAGTTCAGCAGTTCAAGACCCGAGTTGCCGCATGACGGAGTGAGCTCTCGTCTCTAGTTCCAGCTCCTGCCAACCTAGCAGTTCGAAAGCAAGAAATTGCAAGTAGATAAATAGGTACCACTTCGGTGGGAAGGGAACAGCGTTCCGTGCGCCTTGGTGTTTAGTCATACCGGCCACATGACCACGGAAACGTCTTCGGACAGCGCTGGCTCTTCGGCTTTGAAACGGAGATGAGCACCGCAACCCTAGAGTCGGATTCGACTGGCTTTCGAGCAAGGGAACCTTTACCTTTACCTTTACTATGGAACAGTAACGTTTGCAAAATTTTCTTCCTTGTTTTGAAATAATTAAAAATAATGATATAAATGATGGGTAATGGGTGGTGTGAACCAGGGCCACACTCCATAGAAATGGAAATTGTATCCTTTGGCTCATTCAAGTGGGCCTCTAAGCCTCAGTTTGTAATTTTGTGAATGAGCTGTGAGAGCACGCCTCTTCCTCCCCTCTCCCATGTCACTTCCTGTTTGGTTCTAACCACACTCAGCTGTGACATCTCAAGCGGCAAACCACTGTTAGCACCACCGGTCCGTACTAGAATCAGAAACCGTGCCTTCACGTGGAATTCTGATCAGTCGTGGGAGGCCACGGTCTAATTATAGTTTCCTGATTCATATTATTACCAGCTAACTGTGATTAGCATTAAACAGGAAACTGAAAAGGAAGCCACATGTAAGAGGGGTGATTCATTTCTGATCTTCAAAACCATGGTTTGGAGGGGGTCTCAAAGACTGGGACTTTGTGTTTTTAATGTTGCACTCATTTCTGTCAAGAGATTGATTATTCCCCCCCCCCCAAACACACACACTTCCAATTTTCATTTCTAATGAGACAATATTAATCCTTAGCAGTAAAAACAGTTGGAAATCGGAGTTACTATGCTGACCACCTTCTTATATGAGGAAGTAAATTATATTTCCTTTCTTTGTCAGCTTCTGAGGTCAGAGAAGAAAAGGATAATCCTTTCGTCAGTTTTCAGCGTGTTTATCTATGGAGAGGTGAGATTGTTGTTGTTTTTTTAAATGTCCCTTTTGGAAGGAAGATTGCATAGCATCGTTCTATACCAGCACAACTCAGTCCTTGGTGGAAACAATCCTCAAGTCACAGCCAACTCATGGCGACACCTGTAGGATTTTCAAGGCAAGAGACGTTCAGAGGTGGTTTGCCATGGCCTGCCTCTGGACTTCCTTGGTGGTCTCCCATCCAAGTACTAACCAGGGTTGACCCTTCTTAGCTTCCTAGATCTGATGAGACTGGGCTAGCCTGGGCCATCCCATAGGATGTACCATTGCCTGCCTCTGCGTTGCTACCTTGGACTTCCTTGGTGGTCTCCCATCCAAGTACTAACCAGGGTTGACCCTTCTTAGCTTCCTAGATCTGATGAGATCAGGCTAGCCTTGGCCATCCCATAGTGTGTACCATTGCCGGCCTCTGCGTTGCTACCTTGGACTTCCTTGGTGGTCTCCCATCCAAGTACTAACCAGGGTTGACCCTTCTTAGCTTCCTAGATCTGATGAGGTCAGGCTAGCCTGGGCCATCCCATAGGGTGTACCATTGCCTGCCTCTGCGTTGCTACCTTGGACTTCCTTGGTGGTCTCCCATCCAAGTACTAACCAGGGTTGACCCTTCTTAGCTTCCTAGATCTGATGAGATCAGGCTAGCCTGGGCCATCCCATAGGGTGTACCATTGCCTGCCTCTGTGTCAAATGCAGCCCCGCGGCTTCGGGTGTGAAATTGACCAATAGTATCGGTGCAAACGGCAGCACAACATCGAGGCAGCTCTAGTGTGAAATTAGCCTATGAAATTCTATGGGTGCATTCAGACGGCTCTTTAGATCTGCGCGAGGCACGGGTGCCTCATGGATTTAAATGTAATGTCTAGACTTCAACATCTGGGAAATGTCCGTCTTCTGTGAGAATCCCGTTTTGCCGCGCTTAGGAGCCATACTAAAAAGATACTACTTTAAATCTAGAGTTTTCATTTCCAACGGGCCACTCACGGACCTTCCCCTGTCTGATCGTTCCAGCATGCAATTAAAAATGGTGCCCGTTTGGGATGGTCTGACGTCAGGCCATCCCTAACGGGCGCCATTTTTAAAAAATCTTGATTCTGCGCATGAGCGAATAACCAAGGACGCAATATCATGCCTATGCGCATGCACAAACTTTTGTTTTTTTTTAAAAAGCCACCGTGCGTGTGCCTCATTCAGTGGACGCCATCTAGTCAATCCACACTGGAAGCAGCGCGCAGTAAGGCGATTCCCCCAGGGGATGTCTGGTCGTGCGAGGATGGATTTAAAAGATCGGGATCAAATTTGAGCCGGCATAATGGTGGGATTAGCTGTCCGTCTGAACGCACCCAATGATTTCTAAGAATCCAGTAGCACCTTAAAGACTAACCTAATATGTGGCAGGATATGAGCTTTTGTGAGTCACTGAACACTTCTTCACTCTATTTTCCGATATATAGAACAGATAGATTTCCATTCTAGCTGTATCTGAAGAAGTGTATGGTGTCTCATAGAATCATAGACTCATAGAGTTGGAAGGGGCCATACAGATTATCTAGTCCAACCCCCTGCCCAATGCAGGACCAGCCTAAAGCATCTCTGACAAATATTCGTCCAGCCTCTTCTTCGTCCAGACTCACGAAAGCTCATACCTGTCAGCTAGCTGCCATGCTTTCTTTGTTTTCTTTCGTCCCTGACCTTGGCGCATGTGCACATGCTTGCTTTGCTTAGCTACTGTGGGTAACATAAGGGAGGGGCTCTTTTGCCCATGCGAATTGGCTCAGCCAGACAGCACTATCAGTGTAACCTTGAATAGAAGGGAGGGCTTGAATTCCACTATTGGTGTGAATATTTCTGCTCTCAAGGGGGTGGGGAGAGTCCATTTATGATGTAATGTCCCGCCGGGAGAATTCCCACACCTGCGCTTGGATTTCATTTGCTTAGCCAGATGAGGCATCAGAGTATATGTATTGAATCCCTTGCACTAATCGTTATTTCTGACAATGTAACTGTACTACTTGGCAACAGAACAGTATTCCAATAAAGCATAACTTTTCCTGAAGAGTGTGTTTTGACCTGCGTGCTGTTGACCCTGACAATACCTTCCCACATATTTTGTTTGTCTTTAAGGTGGTGCTGGACTCTCGCTCTTTTCACTGATCAGTTTTTCAGTGGTGAGGGGGATATGGGGAGGTGAAATAATCCAGCTTCCCAAGCACTCCATCAGTACTATCACTGATTGGCTGTCACCACATGTGTGCAGTCTGAACAACTGGATTAGATGTCAGACTGTGTGTGCAACAACCTTCATCTAGCATAGGATTCCTGTGCAGAAGCTTGGTTTTGTGTGTATGTAGCCCCTGGGTGGACTGGTGCATTTGCGTTCTCGGGGGAAATGGCACCAGGCGCGTGTCCGAAATTTTGTTCTTCTTGCGTTCTAGATTCTGATATGGTCACTCGAATGAGATCCGGGGTGTGTGATGCTGCTGTTGCCCCAGCACAGAGAGAGCCAGGATTGACAGGTACTGGTATACCAAGAGAGAGCTGTTGTTGCACACAATGGGCAACGCAAGTAAAATTGAACCAACAAAAATGCTATAAAGCACAGGATACAATAAATGTACTCGACAAAGTTATTTTGCAATGAACAGGGGATAAATACAAGTTACAAGAGACACCACCTACTAACTACCAGAACAATCTGCTGGGAATATTTCTTGTGCAAACCTGTATTAAGAAGCAAGGAACATGGAAAGGGATCTGGGTGTTCTGGTTGATCACAAGCTAAACATGAGCCTGCAGTGCGATGTGACTTAGAAGGAAGTTAACACAATCTTAGGATGCATTAACAGAAGCATTGTGTCCAGATCACGGGAGGTGGTAGTTCCACTCTGTTCTGCTAGGGTCAGGCCTCACCTGGAGTACTGTGTTCAGTTTTGGGCACCACATTTTAGGAAGGATGTTGACAAGCTTGAGCGTGTCCAGAAGAGGGCAACCAGGATAGTGAGAGGGTTGGAATCCAAGTCTTACGAGGAAAGGCCGAAAGAGAAGGGTCTGTTTAGCCTGGGAAAGAGAAGGCTTAGAGGGGACATGATTGCAGTCTTCAAATATCTGAAGGGCTGTCACATAGAAGATGGAGCAGATCTATTCTCTCTTGCTCCGGATTGCAAGACTAGATCTAATGGGTGGAAATTACAAGGGAGTCGATACCGGCTAAATATCAGGAGAAACTTCCTAACTGTAAGAGTGGCTGAGCAGTGGAACAGTCTGCCTCAGGAGATGGTGGATGCTCCTTCGCTGGACATTTTCAAGCGGAGGCTGGACGACCATCTTTCGGGTATGTTGTAGGGCTATCTTTCGGCCGTGCTCCTGCAGAGTGCAGGGGGGTTGGACTAGATGACCTGCAATGTCCCTTCCAGCTCTAACATTCTATGATTCTGTGGAAAAGTCTCACAATACCATTGTGTGAATTTCGCTTCTTGAGTACTTAGGAGCTTTATTTTTATTGTTTTGTTTTGGTGGGAAAAGTTCTGTTCTGGGTTCCTTCAGTATAAGGAACGGGTGGGGTGGGGTGGGGGGCTTCTTTGTTTCCACTGCCCCCTGCAGAGAACTCTTTCTTTAGAGCTTTCCACATGAGTTACACTTTCTCTCTCTGGTTCCTTCTGGCTGTCCAATTGGTATCGATCAGAGTCCACACTGGAACTCTTTTCCTTGATGGAAAGCAGCCAGATCCAGCTCGACCAACGCCGTTCCCTTCCATCCCAAGAGTACCGGATCTTCAAGCACACGTACTCAGCAGAAGAGGCCCGCCTCTGGTGTCTCACACGTAAGAGAACTTATCCGTTGTCTGGATGCTCATGGACAGACGCCGCCGCTACTAGTTAGAAGTTTTGGACGTTTAGAATTTCTGTAACAGTCTGCTAGAATCCTGAGAGAGAGAGAAGCTGATCTCTAGAGATCTGATCTTGAGAGCCAAAACAACATTTCGTTCCTTATCCGATACCAGGCAAAACTAGATAGTGAATGTACAGGTCTTAGCCCACCCATGCCAGTCCAGGAATGTGAGGGAACCCTGTACTTTTCAGTACATTAAACAACAAACCATGAGATGGTCTATACCCCCTCATGTTTTCAGAATAATATGCCACCAGAACCTCTTTTCACTAGTCCCTGCCTTTCCTAAGGGAGAGATTCCAAACCCTTAGTTGGCATCTGGGACAAAACACATTAGCAACTCAATATAGAGATGCACACTCTTACCAAAGTAGCATGTGTGGGGAGCGTCAGGCTACAAGATCTAGGCTTGGAATGCAAGTTACAACATCAGAGACCCATTAGAAATAAGAATAATTTTTATTCAGTACAGAGCATAGGAAAACAGACTATATAAGAGATTACTGAAAACAAGAAAAACCTATGGCTCTGTGCCTTAACTACACATTAAAGATATTCATATTTACCAGTGAAGTGTCCAGATTCCAAGAGTGTCCAAAGTATACAGTCCAATTAGACACCAAGGGATTTTGAAGAGAAATCCCATCCTTGCACCCATGTGCTCCAGTTCACAAAGCAGCTCTTTGTTTTCCAAGAAACAGCATTTCCAGGTGCAATAAACAGACAATGACAAGAAGGGAGAACTAAGAGCAGAGCACTCCCTCTCATAGAAATCAATCAATTATACTCCAATTCCATTCATGATCAGCTGTGGCCATCAGCCAATCATGAGCGGACAGGGGATGTGCCCAATTGTTGGTTGTCATAGCTGCGTGTGGGGATAGGCTAGAAGTTTGGAGACCACGCCTGCAGTCACATGACCCAAACTCCAGCTTCTCCACTGCCTACGTGACTTGTTGCATGTGGGCCAGAGGCAGGAGCCATCAGGTCTGGCTCTTCCACTTAGAGGTGTGAAAGAATGTGTGGTTATATGGCATGGCTATTGAGGTAGTTCAGGCCATTTGGTCTGCCCTGGACCATTTGACCTGCAACAGGAAACAGAGACAGCATGGTATCAAAAGACATCACAGGAGAAGGCATGTGGATATAGAAGCAGAAAGCAAATTTTCTATACAGGGAATTTCACCCCTCCCCCTGCCATGTGATTGAGCACTAATGAGAATATCAGGATACTCTCAAACACATCCAGATTCATTTAATGCGAGGGATGCCAACTCCAAGTTGGGAAATCCTTGGAGATTTGGGTGTGGGGCCTATGGAGGGTGGAGGTTGGGGAGGGGAGGGACCTCAACGGGGTATAATGCCCTAGAGCCCACCCTCCAAAGCAGCCCTTTTCTCCAGGCGAACTGATCTCTGTTGTCTGGGGATCAGTTGTAATTCCGGGTGGCTGGCAACCAGTTTGCTGTAGTGCTTAGGAGCACAGACTCTAATCTGGGAGAACTGGTTTTGATTCCCCTCTCCTTCACATGCAGCTGCTGTTTGATCTTGGGTCAGTAACAAGTTCTTTCAGAGCTGTTCTCTCAAGGAGTTTGAAAGCTGCTCTGAGACTCCTTTGGGTAGTGAAGGGTGGGGTATAAATCCAATCTCCTCCTCCTCCTCCTCCTCCTCTTCTTCAGCAGTTCTCTCAGAGCTCTCTCAGCCCCATCTACCTCACCGGGTGTCTGTTGTGGGGAGAGGAAGGGAAGGAGATTGTAAGCTGCTCTGAGGCTTCGAGTGAAGGGCTGGGTGTAAATCCCATCTCCTCCTCCTCTTCTTCCTCTCAATCTCTTATCAAAAAGTGAGGTTTAGCATTGGCGTTGGAAATGGTGGAGCAAAGTGCTGTCAAGTCTTATGGTGATTTGGTTGGGTTTGCAAGTCAAGAGATGTTCAGCAGTAGTTTGCCATTGCCTGCCTCTGATAAGTTACAACAAACAAGACCACGGTGTAATGTAACCAACAAAACAATAAATCACCGTGTATGAATACACAATATAAGCAGATATTTATATATAATGCTTTTAGAATTCAATAGTCAGCAAGATTTCAACTATAACATCTTAAATGCGATCTTAGGCTTGGCAGTACATGTGAAACATTACAGTATAGTCTCAGACAAACAACGGATTTCTAGTATAAGTCCGTTTACGAATCCTTCTTCAGGTTTGTCGTCTGTATTCTTATCTTCAATAGAATAGAGTGCTGCAAGCATTATTTCACAATGTAAATTCTTATACATTTTTTTATACGTTATCGCGTTTAATCTGGTGACTGGGGAGCTCCTATCATGCTCTCATGTGACAGAGTCTACAATGTGATATTTGGCTCAGCTTCCCTCAGAGATGGTCTCCCGTCCAAGTATTGTCATCTGGAGATCAGTTGTAATTCCCAGTTGGCCTTGCTTTGCTTCTGAGATCCAGCAAGATCAGGCCAGTCTGAACCATCCAGGTCAGGGCTGGTGATGGGAATAGTCAGTGCTGAAGACGGAGAAATTTGACTTTTGAGTTTCAAAAAACTACTTTCTTTTGTGGGGAGCAAATCCGTATATTGCGGACAGTGGCAATGATTCGCAAGAGGAAACTTTGGAAGGAGTGTGTTTTATCTGAATTAGGCTAGTTTGCAAACACTTCTGAGATCCAGCAAGATCAAGCCAGTCTGAACCATCCAGGTCAGGGCTGGTGACGGGAATAGTCAGTGCTGAAGATGGAGAAATTTGACTTTTGAGTTTCAGAAAACTACTTTCCTTTGTGGGTAGCAAATCCGTATATTGCGGACAGCGGCAATGATTCGCAAGAGGAAACTTTGGAAGGAGTGTGTTTTATCTGAATTAGGCTACTTCGCAATAATATATGTGGCAGGAAGGTAGAGGAGGCGTGGGGAATGTGGGAATGCATTCCGGGTGAAAATGTCCGGATTTCTATGGCTCTTGTCCTTCCCAGGTTGTGCAGAAGATGAATTCTGTCATCTGGTGGACATTCCCAATGTCACAAGCCAAACGTACTTCACTTGCACCCTCTATCCTGTGGCCCTGGTCTGTGAGAACATTGTCAACAGCATCCCCGAGAACTGCAGCACTGTGTTACCTCAGAAGCCAAACATTTTATTTCAGAAAAAAGGTGAGTTTAGGCTGTATCTTTCAGTCACATCATGGCCATACCATAGCAAGAGCGAATCGACGTCTCTGCTTTTAAAAGGAGAGGTGTCACCGTAGTTCCATGAATCAGTCCCATGGGTTGCTGAGAGCGGCAAGATAGAGAGAGGGAAATGTTGGCTTCAACCTTCAAATGTCTGAACCATCCAGGTCAGGGCTGGTGACGGGAATAGTCAGTGCTGAAGATGGAGAAATTTGACTTTTGAGTTTCAGAAAACTACTTTCCTTTGTGGGTAGCAAATCCGTATATTGCGGACAGCGGCAATGATTCGCAAGAGGAAACTTTGGAAGGAGTGTGTTTTATCTGAATTAGGCTACTTCGCAATAATATATGTGGCAGGAAGGTAGAGGAGGCGTGGGGAATGTGGGAATGCATTCCGGGTGAAAATGTCCGGATTTCTATGGCTCTTGTCCTTCCCAGGTTGTGCAGAAGATGAATTCTGTCATCTGGTGGACATTCCCAATGTCACAAGCCAAACGTACTTCACTTGCACCCTCTATCCTGTGGCCCAGGTCTGTGAGAACATTGTCAACAGCATCCCGGAGAACTGCAGCACTGTGTTACCTCAGAAGCCAAACATTTTATTTCAGAAAAAAGGTGAGTTTAGGCTGTATCTTTCAGTCACATCATGGTCATACCATAGCAAGAGTCAGGGCTATTTTTGGGCAGGAACGCACAGGAACGGAGTTCCGGATGGCTCCCGAGTTGGCCACGCCCAGCAGGAACTCATTAGCATAATAAGCCACACCCAACAGCTACATAAGGGGTGTGTGGCCTAACATGCAAAGGAGTTCCTGCTACCAAAAAAGCCCTGGTGGACAACAACCAAGGTAAACAGAATAAGAAGCAAAAGGTGGGTGTGGTGTGGCTGGATGACCACACTTCTGGTAACACGGGGGTGTGGCCTAATAGGCTAATGAGCTGTGCTGTCAGGGGTGTGGCCAAACATGCTAATACGTTTCTACTGTTGGGTGTGGCCCGTTATGCTAATGAGTTCCTGTTGGGCTTTTTCTACCAAAAGAGCCCTGGCAAGAGTGAATCGACGTCTCTGCTTTTAAAATGAGAGGTGTCACCGTAGTTCCATCAATCAGTCCCACGGGTTGCTGAGAGGGGCAAGATAGACAGAGGGAAATGTTGGCTTCAACCTTCAAAATGTCCTTCAACCTTCACAGAATAATCTTCATTTTTTTTTTTTTGTCATCGTCGATAGTAAGAAAAGGGATCTAGGGAATCTAGTGGCCTGTGGGTCAGATCACATGCACATGTGATCCTTAAACTTTTAATGCTGTCTTAACCGCTAAGATATCTGATATCCGCTAGAGTTTACATGGTCCTCAGGCTCTGTGGCCCTAGTTAGGGAATATTTGTGTGATTAGCACCACTTGTAAGCCGCTCAGAGACCCCCTGAGAAAGGGGGTTCGAGCGGGATATAAAGTCTAAAGTTAAATAAATAAATAAATAAATATGTGAATCTGCCTTGTATTGTTACATTTAATTGGAGATGCTGGGGATTGAACTTGGAACCTTTCTTCTTATCTTACTGTTCTTTTGGCTCAAAGCTCTTGAACAGATCAAGATCCAGCCCTTTTACAGGCAGTTTGGTGTAGTGGTTAAGTGTGCCGTCTCTAATCTGGGAGAACCGGGTTTGATTCCCCACTCCTCCACTTGCACCTGGCTGGATAACCTTGGGCAAGCCATAACTCTGGCACAACTGTTCTTGAAAAAGAGCAGTTTCTGTCAGAGCTCTCTCAGCCCCGCCTACCTCACAGGGTGTCTGTGGTGGGGAGGGGAAGGGAAAGGAGTTTGTAAGCCACTCTGAGACACCTTTGGGTAGTGAAGGGCGGGGTATAAATCCAATCTCTCTCTCTCTCTCAATCACCGCTGCCAAATATTTAGCGACTGCTAAGGCAGTTTCCGATCCTCACCTGTACAAGGAAAAATTGGATGATTTTTTTGAGATGGCGAATTCACATGACCTATTATGCGGGAGGAAATGCTGCGTAAGCTCCGCCCACAAGCCCCAAGATTCTCTTCTGGGACGATGTCGGGTGCAAGAAATGGCCGCACTGCACCCGACATGTCCCTTGAATGCGTGCTGAAAGAGATTTCCAAGGAACCGGGGCAAGCCTGGATTTAATAGCTCACCATCTTTCTTCTTTGCTTTTGCAGTCTCTCTGGAAGGGAGCGTAAAGAACTTTTACACTCGTTTACCTTTCCGTAAAGTTTCGGGGATCTCCGTGAGAAACAAGATGGATGTGTCTGGGAAAGCTGTCGGAGATGGGTCAGTGTCCTTTCTGTTCTGTTCTGCGAGTGTGGGTCTTTATCTTTGATCTGAGCAACTTCAGGGATCTTCCTTGCCGAAGAGGTATACTCAAGCCACGGGGCTGGCCGAGGCCTTCACGTCACACCTCGCGTACACTACACCACTTCTGTGCTACCCAGTAAACTCCGCCCCCCCAAAAAACATCTGTATTCCATTATCCAGGATAACAAGGTTTGAGTCCAGTGGCACCTTTAAGACCGACAAAGTTTTATTCAAAGTATAGGCTTACCGCGGCGCCTCAACGTTGGCGCGGCTTTTAAAAGCCGCGCCTTCAAGCGCCTTTTCCCCTGCCGTGTGGCAGGGGCCTTCGACTCTCAAAAGCTGAAGGAATCACACGAGACAGCTCTCTTGAGGGTAGAGAAATCTGTCTGCCTTTCAACAGGAAAACAGATATTTTAGGGAGGACGTCTTAAGGATGCTTACATAGTACAATAATTAACGAGCTACGTTTCTTTAACATGCCCACAGGTACAGGATTGTGCAAAGGTCAGGACTCTGGCTACTGATCAATCCAGATGTTTACAGAGTCTGGAAATATGGGTTAAAATCAGGATAGGTGTGCCTGATCGCTGACCCCTTCCCACACGCACACTTCTTCAGATACAATGGAATAAAATCTCCTCAAGCCCTATTTACAGGAAAAGAGAGGGTGGGGGGGCAGCCGTTCGAAAGGACCACTCAGAGTCAAGATGCATAAGTAGAGCTGGAATCGTTAGCCCTTACAGTTATGTGCCAATTTGCTGCCATTAGTTGTGGTAGATTTTCCGGGCTGTACGGCCGTGTGGTCTTGGCATTGCGGGACCTGACGTTTCGCCAGCAGCTGCGACTGGCACCCTCAGAGGTATAACACAGAAAGATGACCCAGAGAGTACTCCATCTTTCTGTGTTATACCTCTGAGGATGCCAGTCACAGCTGCTGGCGAAACGACAGGGACTACAGTGCCAAGACTACACGGTCGTACAGCCCGGAAAAATCTACAACAACTAATGAACTCCGGCCGTGAAAGCCTTCGGCAACATATTCCGGCCATTGATCTGGCCACCTGGTCCGATTTCAAAAGCTCATACTTTGAACAAAACGTTGTTGGTCTTAAAGGTGCCACTGGACTCAGACTTTGTTCTGCTGCTTCAGAACAACACGGCTCTCCACCTGAATTATCCAGGAGAGTGTGCCAAGTCAGTAGGAACATGCAACGAGTACAAGCTACAAGAAGCTACTTTATACCGAGCTAAGACCAGTGGGCCATTTTATCCAATCCTTTGTTTGGCAGTAACTCTCCTGTCGCCCTGATCTGGATAGTCTAGGTTAGCCCGGTCTTGGAAGCTAAGCAGGGCCAGCCTTGGTTAGTACTTGGATGGGAGACCACCCAGAAAGTCCAGGGTTGCTACGCAGAGGCAGGCAAGGGATTTTCAAGGCGAGAGACGAACAGCAGTGGTTTGCCATTGCCTGCCTCTGCGTAGCAACCCTGGACATTGAACTAGCAAGGGCAGACAGTGGGTGGCCCTTGATGAGCCCTATTCATTCTGTTCGAGCCTTGCTGTAACCATCTGCTCTACAGTTTGGTGTCGTGATTAAGTGCGCAGACACTAATCTGGGAGAACCGGGTTTGATTCCCCACTCCTCCACTTGCACCTGGCTGGATGCCCTTGGGCAGGCCGCAGTTCTGATAAGAGCTGTTCTTGAAAAAGGGCTTCCGGTCTGGCTAAGATGGAGGACTGAAGCGTTTCGCGATCGTGCGAAGCGAGCGACGGCCACTTTCGACAGTTTGGGCAATACACAGCCCAACGCATCAC